AAAAAAAAAAAACTTCGACCTCTGGTCGCCATTTGGCGTTGTCTGCATGGCCAGCGGCCTGGAACTGGGTATTGCCGTGACCATCCGTGCCCAGCCAGAAACATACGACGACCGGGGCGCTATCGTCCTCTTCGCTACCAGCGCAGAGGATCCAGAATCTATCGATAACACGTTGGAACAACTCCGGCGGGCCGCAGAGGAGGGCATACGCGTCCACTACGCATGCATCGACATGCATACCAACACAGCCGAGGTCATTCCAGACAAAGCCAAATGGGCCGGGTGCACCCCTGGCGACTCTCTGGTCCCACCCGTGCTAAAGACCGGCGGCATCGTGGCTTTCGTCGACGGGCCCGCAGCCCGATTGCCCGCACATTTTGCCAACCTCGTCATGGACAACGGTCTCACAGCCACCGACGAAGATGAGCAGACCCCCGAACACACCCGCATCTATCCCGGCATAGCCCTTGCCGGGTTCCTTAGCCCCGACCGCCCCACCAAATCCTTCACCTACCCCCTCTCGGTGGGCGAGAAACTCGAATTTACCGTCAGCAGCGTCGCCGCGAACGGCCAAGGCACAGAAGCCTGCTTCAGCGTGACGCTGTGGCGCAACTATCCCGACAAGGAGATCGCAACGCACACGCGGTGCGGCGACTCCTCCCCCTTATCCCTGCGCTACGAGGCGACCGAATCCTTCGACCTGGTCCTCGAGGCCGAGTACAGCGACACGGCGCCCAAGGACGAGTTGCTCGGTCGCGAGGACATCCTGTTTGTGCTCGGCGTCGACACCAACATGCCCGAAAAGGACGAGACCACCGTCAGGACGACGACGAGCATCCGGAGCGCGCGCGCCACTGTCGGCGGGGAGGCGCTTTTGTCTAGTGAGACCGTGGAGGTGGTGTCTGGGACGGCGACGGTGGATAACAGCACGTCGACGTCGACGTGGACCGAGTCTTACAGGGTTGCTTACGACGACAGCGCTTCGTCGTTTCTCTTCCCGGGTATTGAATACTACCCCATGTGTGCCGTGCCGACCGTCACGGCTACGACGATGGTCAGCAATTTGACTGTAGGTCGTGAAGAAGATGGAAGGTAGCGGGCGAGTGACTACTGTGGTAGAACCCGTAATGTGGAAATGACCTCACGGATTTATGATGATACTAGATTTCTTCTTACCATTTACATACTCGAAGATACAATGCTGAACTCTGTAGATGGGTAAATCTGTATCCATTCCCGCCGTGATGTTTTGTCAACCGCTCAGTGCTCGATATTTGGGTCACAATCCAGTCCATTTCCGCTACCTCAATCTCAACGACGCGGGATTATTTCCAGCCTTATCCCCGGGGGTTGCCGGGCTACCAAAGTAAGGCTAGATCAGGGGCTAGTCGGCGGAGCTAGTGGGTTTGGTAACCCTCCGAATGCCGGCTTTTCCGCTCGTCATGCAACCCCGCTGCAGCATCGAAGCTTTTTGGGGGTTTCGTGAACTGCCAAACACGGCGAATTCCCGCGAACGTGCTGCAGCCACAAAACAGAGCTGAAACGACACAGCGCTCAAGGGACAAGAAGAGTGGCTGGACGTCCGGCACCGGGCACCAACTCCTTTCATCCCCAGCTTTTCTATGACGATTCCTATTGCTGGACTACCGGTCAATTGTATATTGGTGGACTGATGATAAGAGGCCGATTGATCTAGCAAGCTCTAAGCAAGCATGTTGTCATCTATGGTCTAAACGACATCCATGCCGGTGAATAGATCTCCTTTTCGAATTTTTTCCACCACTGGACTACATTTTTGACCGTCCACTGAATGGTTTTGTTTGTCGCGCTGGGCCGCCGAGTTGACCCGGGGTCACCCATCTCCGTCGTTCCGCTCCATGTTTCCTACGTTTGACTTGGGTTGGGGTGCGATTATGATTGCTGATATACTATGGATAGCACATGCGCCTTCACGTACTACCTATCCCCCTGGCGAAACGAAATATAATGGCTCCAATATGTCTACGTTTGGCTGAGATAAAATGCCCGCGTTTCGATAGTCTGGGAACATCATCAAAGCCGGCAGATCCCCTTGTTTTGGAAAATACCGATCTCCAAAACAACCGCAACTCGGAGAATCAATGTTTAGGGGGTTCTTGCCTGAGGCCTAGCATTTTTCTCTACCAGTTCATTGGGTCTTAGCTTTGACGTTGACCTGAAACGACTGACAGCTGAAGCCCCAAGTCACAAGTCCCGGGGTCTGTCAGGGGCTGTGATGCAGCCAAGACTATCGTGGGGTTACATTGATCGTCTGACCAGAAACACCCACAGATATCGCCGGCAAGACGGCAGATCGACGAGGGGATGCGATTGGACTCCTGTTTCGATGTTGGAGGTTTAGCGCCCAACAACTGTGTCGTTTTGTCTTGTGTCAAGATGCTGCGCCTCGTGTTTCTTGCCCGGAGTGCCCAACCCGGATTTGGGTTGGTCTTGCGATGATGGGCGAGGTTGAGCCTTTGAGGAGGCCTCGAGTGTGAAGTCGGCAAGTTGAACACAGGTATAAAGATATCGAATCATGGCCTTCACTAAGAGTTGGTATTCAGCAGGCACAGCTTCCTCGACTCACCAGCCCCTTCAGTTCTTCAGTAACACTCTTCCTTCTACTTCACCCTAGCCCTGGTGGCATTCTGCTTATAATTGTTACTTTTATCCCTTTCCAAACCCAACACACACCCAACAACGTACTCAACCAAAATGCACCCCTACGAGATCCTCCTCCTCACCCTTCTCGCCACTCCCACCACCGCCCATGGCGTAGTCACCCTGGTCCGCGGTGCCAACGGCGTCGACATGCCCGGCCTCTCCAGTATGTGAATACCTAACCACCCCCTCTCATCATCCCTCACTATCTCCAACCCACCCCACCCCAACACTCCCCTCCCCTCCCCAAACCCATCCACTACTAACCAACGCCCCCTCCCAGTCGCCGACGGCACTCCCCGCGACTGCTCCACCAACCGCTGCGGCTCCCAAGCCGACACGGCCATCATCCGGGACCGCGAGATCCGGTCGGGCCAGACAGGCCCGCTCGGCCGCACCCAGGGCAACGGCCCCATCGACGCCGCCACCATGGTCGCCGCCTTCATGGGCACTCGGCGCCGGGCCGTTGTCAACGCGGCGAATGCGTCCGTCGGCGTGGACGATGATTTGGCCGGGTTGCAACGTGATGCTAGTGGGAGGTGTGGGAGGGGTGGTGTGAATGGGAAGAGGGAGGAGCAGGGGGGGAGGTGGAGGGTGGCGGCTAGGGCAGTTTTTGAAGGGCTTGTTTGGTGGTGGTGCCGGTCGTGGTGGTGGTGGCACGGATAGTGCCGTTGCGACGGAGAGCAATGTTGCGGCTATGGCTGGCCAGGGGGCGACGTCGGGTTTGCCGACTTGTGCGGATGATGGGACGATTGAGATGGTCTTTCATCAGGTGAGTTTTTGAGGTTCTGGTTGGGGCTGGGTGCCCGGTGGTGCGAGAGTGGGCATGGCTGACAGTGTGTGGAAGATCAACCAGGATGGCGCTGGCCCCCTTGATGCTGCCATTGATGGCACGTCCGGCGGCACTGACCCGGCGGCGTTCCAGCGCGCTCAGGTGACGCAGGACGTGCCGGGCTTTGGGTTCCAGGGGCTCAGTCTGGCGACTAGCAAGGACTTTCCTCTGACGGTGCAGATGCCGCAGGGCATGACCTGTGATGCGACGGTTGCCGGCGTGGACAATGTCTGCATTGTGCGCGTGCGCAACGGCGCTGCGGCTGGGCCGTTTGGCGGCAGTGCTGCCTTCACCATGAGCGCAGCAGCTCGGAAGCGGGCCGTGGCTTACCGCCTCAAGAAGAGGGCTCAGACCTTCAAGGCCTAAGGTCTCAACTGGTTTGAAAGAACTGTGAGTTCTAGAAGCCTACTCCAGAAGTCTCAGGTTCATAGAATGTATGTTACGATGATATCACGAGGGTTTAGAGATATTTAGCTGCGTAGTGTAGACCATTTTGTCGGCATCTTCCCATATTGTATTGAGTTCTATTCGAGCCGATTCACCAAATCCCCAATCGTTGTCCCGGCCAAACTCTTAGTTGTCTTACTGAGCATAGCTCGCGGATCTTCCATCTCCAAAACCTACCTAACTAGTATAAGTACTTTTGTTATAATTCAACACCCAGTCAAATACCCTTGGAACGTGATTGCCACGACCTTGACTAAAACAAGCAACCGTAAATACAATATTAGCCATCCCCGGATGCTCAGGTGTCTTGAAGGTCTTGGGCAGGACATAAGCAGTCTTCACAATATATGCAGATCAACACGAACCATAGTGTTGAGCAACGACTTGATTAGTGACAGAAGCCCCCTCTCCAGGTACAACGTTGCGTAACAGAGATCCATCCAACCCAATCTAACCATGGCTATGACGGACACCATCGCATTGGTGTTGCTGGTCACGCTCCGCACTTCTGACTCGGCTTATTGGTAGAAGCAAAGCCCAGGAGATCCGGGCCCAGACGGGAAGAAGCAAGCAAAATATTCAATAAGAAAACAGTCCACATCAGAGAAGCAAGTAGAAGGGCAGGGAATGGGTTGACGAGCCTGCAGCTTGTCAATCACATCCCTCTTGGCATTCGGGGTGGCTTTAACGGCGGTCTGGGGATCGGGCATGTTCAGAGAGTCGGTGGGGTGCAGCAGCTCGTGCGGATCCGTGATCAGGCGGCCGTCAATCTCCGGGTGCTTGTCCTTGTCCAGTATCTCGTGCACGGCCGGGGGCGCCTCGACGCCGAGGTGCAAAAACTGATCCAGCAGCGCCGAGGCTAGAGCTTCGACATGGTCCGGATCGAGCTGGCGGTAGTCCACCACGCCATGGTCGGGGGCAAAGTGCGCAGGACGCCGTCTACACCCAGCAGGAAAGAAGCCGTGGGGATCGAAAGTCATGTCCCCGATGACGTCGCGAGTTGGCCCTGGACGATAACGGAGAATTGAGGGATTCATGTCCGCCATTGTGGCGGCCGGTGATCCCAAGGCCTATTAGACAATGTGAGCCGCAATGGTACCATACGCGCCGTTCGAAAATGATACTGACCATGGAAGAGGCCCATAGGCAAGCGAGAGCGAGACGAATCATGATAGACACGGTCGGCGGGATGAAGTTCGTGTGTTTAAACCGTTGAAGAGATGAGTGGAAGGAAGACAGAGCGAACTGCAGTGGATTGGAGAAAGAGGAGAGACTCGGAGACGGTGGGTGGTGAAAGGCTTGCGACAGGGAGAGTAGTAAAGGTTTTTGAGGGTCCAGAATATTTACCTTATAATGTAGGCCCCAGGGTCTCCTGTGGTTGCTGATGTTTCATCAACCAAATCCGTTGCCATGTAGCCGAGGTCCTTGAATCCCGAAATCCGATCCTCTAGCACCCAACATTGGATGAGGTTGAGGGCCGAATGGTAACCTAGAAATAGAACCAACAGATTCTACCAATATTGACTGATGCATGGCACACATTCCGAGATCCTTTCCTGTCGTCCCTGAAAATTTAATCCACCGCTTCGGCCCTGCATCCTACCTGAACCGGCCGATGGGCACCAGCCAAGGTTCAACGTGAGTACGCACGCAGGAATCGTTGGCTCGAGGCCGGCTGCCACGGGATGAGTTGGTCTGACAATCACCAGAAGCACCGGAATGTCCGGACATTGATCATGCATAGGTGGGTAAGTAGTCATCATTGTCAGTGTGATATCTGTAAACTTGTGCATCATGGTAGTATTTCTTCTTCCGGTGAGCGGTTGTTCTCAACACGCCGGGCACCTCAGCTTGACAGATTCTCCCTCAATCTGCCCTCCAACCGAGCGACGCCACCAGGTATCCACGATTCCCAACAATAGCAGCAATGTGGCCATACACAGTCGAGTTGTCGGGGCTTACAACCCATCCTCCCAAGTACCTAGGGTCGGCGTCTTGTGTTCCAAAGGTTAACAAAAATAGTTCGATTTTGAGCGACGCCGAGACTTACTGGCCTGTTCGTCCTGGGGCTTGACAACCATAACCTGCGCCAAGTCTGTATAAGGCCCGACTTGTAGCCAACCGCCCGTCACAGTTGCGACGCAGACGTGTGACTGGGGTAAAGACGGAGCCTCCGCCGTGATTACGACCTCTTGGCAGCCCTGGAGCGGCGTGGTGGCGATGGTATGCCCTGCTGGGTAGAGACGATTCTCTGGCTGGTTGGAGGGGAGGCGCAAAGGAGCACTGGACAGTTTGAACTCGGTTACGTCGACGCTCAACGCTCTCTTTCCAGGGTCGGTCAGGAAGAAGCGCAGGGTAGCTCGCTCGATGTCCAGGTCGGCGCTGCCTACGGACCATATCCAGTTGATCTGGAATTCAGGCCATTCGATCGCCTCAAGAGTAATCGACAGGCCTGAGGGCGGCCGGCCCAGCTCGGCTGAGATAAAGGCGATGAGTTCGTGTCCGTACTGACGAACTTGGAGATGAAATCGGTCCCGGATCCTGGCGTCATTTGAGGACAACGGGTCTATCGAGTTGTTCCCAGCCATTTGGTATGGGCTAATTCATGGAATTACGAATGGAAGAAGGAGAGCTGTTTGAAAATTACTAATGAAGTAGAATCGAAGGTGACGACTGAGACCGGGGTGGAGGATATGGAAAGGGGCGGAATGAATACCCAAATATGCAGTTGGTTCAACTCGAGGGATGCGGTCAGAAGCAGAAGACGCGTGCGAAGGAAACTTGATAACTCGTGCTTTTGGTTGCCCAATCAAGTCTCTGGCCTCCTCCGCATGGTTACCTCTGGCGATGCACCCCCGTCGCGACTCGCCCCCGGCCCACACCTGTTCCCATATTGTCTATACCAACGCCCGGTAGACATCCGTTTGGCTCGGAACTGCAGAATGGCCTTTGTTGAACGATGCAGTCTCGGAGGAGGCCGATATGGTTCAGGGCTGGACACTGAAGGTCTTGGAAGTCTGGCAGATACTGCAATCTGACTGACCGGACTCACCGGAGGGTTGTGGGGGCGGACGGTTTGTTCAAACGTTGGCAGCCTTTAAGAACTGAAAGCCTGCCCCTTATGAGGCTGTTTCCCACCGTCGAGTTTCAACGATTCCGCCTCCAGGACACAATACTTCCGCACTCCAACATGAAGTACAGCTCGGTTCTGGCTCTTACCTCGATGCTGTCCCGCACCGTCTTGGGACAGGGCTTTGCCGCTACCTGCCATGTCAGTACCAGTACTCCAGCAGCAACCAACCTCCCATACCCCCTTACCAGGAAACCCCTGTGATAAATGATATCTTACACAATCAAGAACATCGCACTCGGGGCAGTCAGCGAAAATGGATGGTCGCAATATTTCCTCCAGGCAGATTGTGTCGAATGCGACGGCAGCGGAGATTCGCACGTGCAGTTGGACCTGGGCGCGTGCATCGCCAATCGCGGCGGCTATCTTGTGCGTGAGCGCAGGTACGGCCCTTGTTCTACCCCCAAGAGTGACAGAGTGGCTGACTGCTGTAGTGGCGCCTTCTGGGAGTCCTGCTACTTCTGCTCGCTATCCTCGACTACTCTAAGTTGTATGTGCAAGACTGGCGAGGGGGCGTTTTTGAGGAACACGGCTATCAACCTGAGTAAGTCGTGTGATGTTGTACTTCGGGTATCCTGTGTTAAACTCACACCCACATTATACGCTCTTGAAGATCTTATTCCACCACCTCGCCCCCTGTTGTCCCGGTACCGGCTGTTTCGCCTCGTCCAGATCCCTCCGTCTGCCAGACTGTAGATCGATCTCATGCGCCTTCCATAATTTTGTCTTGAATACCAGCTTGTACACGATATAAATGATACCAAACAGCGGCAACAAAATGTACGCGTCCACAAACAAGCCGGCATTGAACGGCGCAAACGTTGACCAGCCCTGGACAAGCGCCAAGAACAAGTTGGCCAACAGCCCAAAGTAGGCGTTGTAGGGATACCACAGGGACACAAACGGAAGCTCGCTCTCGGTGTGCCCCTGTGCCTTCCACGCGGTGCGGAAGCGGATATGCGTGAAGCTGATGGCGGCCCAGACGATGAAGGTCGAAACACCGCTGAGATTCACGATGTAGCTGTAGGCCTCGCTGGCGCCGGTGCTGACGTTCATCATGCTGAGGGCGCCGCAGAGGTTGGTGAAGACGATGGCCGGGATGGGCACGCCCCGCTTGTCGGTCCAGCCCAGAAATTTGGGCGCCTTTCCGTCCTGAGCCATGTAGAGGAGCGTGCGGCTGCCGATGTAAATCGAGCTGTTGACAGCGCTGAGGCAGGTGATAAAGATGAAGGCGTTGATGAGATGGACTCCGCCTTCCCAGCCGGCATTTTGAAGAGCGATGGTCATTGGACTGCGCAGGGCACGGCTAGAACCGCCGATCAGATCGGGGGAATTGGCGGGGCAGGTCAGACCAAAGAAGAAGGCGCTGCCCATGTAGACGACGACGATGCGAATGAAGACTTGACGGATGGCCAGGGGCACGGCGTAGCCGGGGTTCTTAGTCTCGGTGGCTGCCACGGCTACCGACTCGACGCCTGCATAGAAGGTGCTGCAAAATACAAACACGGAGGCGACGCCCTTGAAGCCGTCCGTGAATGCGCCTGGATCATTCCAGTACCGAAAGCCAATGGCATCGGCCCCTTTCACACCTCCGGAGGCGTAGCTGTCTGCTGTTAGTCGGCGCCTAGGGGGCCAAATAGGGGATAAACCAACACGATGCTGAAAATGAAGTAAGCGATCAAGCCGATAATCTTAATCAATGCCAGCCAGAACTCGGCCTCTCCAAAGGTCTCTACGCCGAGCAATTGGAAAGCCAAAAACGCAAACTATGAATGTGTTAGCGCCGCGCCGCCAACCCAGCCCCTAAGACCCGAACAACAACACCAACAACAACAACAACAATCCACTGAAGACCGACTCACCCAAAACAGAAGGAAGTATCCGTATAAAGGGAGTTTAGGACTCCAAAATACCATAATGCTCGAGATAACGTTATACTCGTTGGCCAAAACACAAAACCACACAATGTAGTAATTCCATCCCACGGCCACGCCGAAAGCCTTGTCCACGAAACGATCACTCAACGCAGTGAAGGCGCCGCCAGTCGGATACAGTGTCGTCAGCTCGCCGAGACTCTGCATGATGGAGAAGGCAATGATGCCAATGACAGCAAAGCCAATCAGCAGCGAGGCGGGTCCGCCAGCCGACAGGGCGCCGCCAGAGCCGATGAGCAAACCCGGGCCGATGATGCCGGCCAAGGCCATCATGGACAGGTGGCGGGTCTTGAGACCGCGCTTGACACCGCTGTGCGGGTCGATGGCGCGGAAGTCATCCGAGTCGGACCCCGTGGCGGCTTCGGTAGTCGTGTCGTGGTCATGGTTGCGGATGGAGACGTCGTCGTCCTTGGTTGGATTTGGTTTGAGTTTTCCGAGCATTGTGTATTTTTGCAGGGGATCGACGACAACACCGGAGACGGGACGGGGGTAATACGAGAGCTACACAGTAGTCCGCGACGGCGGTCGAAGGAGTCTTATGTGGGGGTCGACTGGCCGGTTCTGGCAAGAAACGGTGTCGATCAGGGACGGGAAAAGGTGGGAGGAGGAACAGGAAGGAACTGCAACACTGGGCCCGACAATGGGGGCGACGGGAATGTTTAAGGTTCTGCAAAGAGTCAGCAGAAACCAGGGATTGCACATGTTCGTGATCCTGCTGCAACACTGCCGAGTGGCTCGCCTGCCCTCATCCCCGAACCTGGTGACATCCCGGCGGCATCCCCAGCGAGTGGCCGCAGTTCCGGGAGGAGGGAGGAGATTCGGCCGGAAATGGGCAAGCTCTCGACATTTTTCAGCAAAGCGCAAAGACAGGGGATGGCCGCGTGGGGTTCAGACACGGAAAGAAGGTTTCGGTGGTTTAACAGGTTGCGGGGAAAATACTGTGTAGGGCTGTTAGCAAGGACATGGAAGCTTTCTCGCATCAAGCCTGCCTTGAATCGCGCAATCCACCAGTGAAAGCCCTACTGCAGGCATTGCAGGGAGCTGTTGCCTGCGGGACGGCATGATTGGTTGGGTGAAAGAACATCCCACGCGACACCCCACGGAAACCAGAACGTGGATGCTCACTGGACCGTGACATCATCGACTCCGCCAAGCCCGGGGTTTGCGCAAGGACCGGCCTGGGAATGTGCCAGGGAACTGAATGCGAAACCCAAAACCACCTTTGGGGCGCGGTTGGATGACAAGGACTGGTCCCCCAACATGCGGGCGGTGCGGGCGACGATACGTTTTGCCATTGCCACAGGTCGTCTGAGGACTGAACAACAACAGAATGAAGCAAACTAACCTCACCATCCTAAACCCCGACTAACAACCCCCTTCATCTCGTGTCACACGGAGTAAGCGCGCTTCAGCCGCCGAAGATAGGACGTTGGACACTTGGAGACTAGCCTTCAAGCCAGCTTACTATTCGTACAACTAACCCACGAGCATCCGCAGCAGAGAGGGCAAAATTGTAAGGAGATAAGCCAGAAAAGGAGGATGTACGGGCTTCATGAGATCAGGATCCATTTTAGGATATGTATTAGTAGATTGCATGATAGTTGCCCTTTCGGGTTAGGCCCGCCGGGCGGAATAAATTGTGTGTGTGTGTGTGTGTGTGTGTTGTTGGAACCAGCGGTATTTCAAGGCATTGAGCAGATCACTGAAGGCTTGGGTCAAAAGGAACGGAGTAGAGGGTGTTGATGGCTGTCAATTGCAGTGCTTGTTGTTCGTTGTTCTTATTCAACTTGTTGAACTGGTCTAATTTTCTGGCGACCAGTAATTTGGTTGGCCCCCGGGTCACGTGACCCAGGTCCTAGGCGCAAGCCGCTCTGGGCTTGTTCTGACAGTTGTTACCTCAGTTGAAACAACATCTCAGACAACCTCGAAATAGAAAAAAAAATAGGATGCTATCCAAGGCCTTGTCGGCTCCGCGTGCCATGCCTCCGCGGTTTTATGATCGCTGATACTGACGCTTTTCAGATTTTTGGCTGCCACGGGCCTTGCTGACGGTTGCGGCTGCCCACTGTGGGATTTTATTAACTAAAGTGAAAGCATCCACGATCGCGAACAACCCCTATTTCCAACTCCTCCAGTCCTGTCGATTTATGAGTGGCTATGGAATTCCTGAGTTGACAATTTCCGAGTAGACTTTCTGGCCCTCCCCATAACTTGTTACTCATTTTTTACCTTTTCTTTTTTCTTTTACATTGATCAATTTTCATGACCGTCCCGACTTACCTAGGTACCTACCTACCCTAGGTACCGATATCACTGCGCGAAAATAGATTCATGATGAATACCTGGCGCGCTTCCAGGCTCACGCATAAGCTCCTCCCTGAATACCAACATGATGGGCGATATGACGCATTAGTACAAGAGCGGGCGAATAAACTACACCTGGTAGTGGGCAATGACATCATACACACAACAAACCCAATACATAAAACAAGCTACCACAATTAACATATTGTTACGTTCCTCGCCAAAGTATCAATTCTAAGGCTCGTCTATGCGAGTAACTGCCAATATGAAGCCCTCATTTGACGTCTTCGACAAGGAAGAGAGGCAGTCACACCGGGCAGCCAGGCGAAGGGGCTTCGTGCCACGAGTGCGAGATGCCGTCGTCTTCCTGGCTGTGGTCTATGCGCTCTACTGCTACCTCTTCTCGAAACCTCTCCTTGCCCACCCCTTGCCCCAACACACGGGTCCGTATGCCGTTGGAACTATTGACATTGAAGCGCCAGTCTTTCCACCACGAGTCATCCACGAGGCTCGGTTCAAGGGAACCAACGAAAAAGCGTTCGAGTTAGAGACTGTCCTTTTCTCGCTGTACTACCCCGTGGCCCATGATACTGCGGCGTCGTCGGCCCAAACAAAGCGCCATCCCTGGGTGCCGCACCCCATCTCCCTCCGAGCTCAGGGGTATGCCAGAGCTGCCCATATCAGCAACTGGTTTACGGACAAGCTTTTCACCATTGGCATCAACGCATTGGTCGGAGGTATCACCATCCCGGCTGCTGTTGATGCACCCCTGAGCGATTACGCCAGACCGACGTCCCAGGAGAAGCTTGCCAACAAGGAACAAGAACATGCCCAACCAAGCAAGGACGGGCCAAGCGGAGGCTACCCGGTCATTATCTTCTCCCACGGCACCGTGTCCGCCAGGACCGACTACTCCCACTTCGCCGGCGAACTCGCAGCACGCGGGCACATCGTCGCCATGCTTGAACACCGCGACGGCTCCTCCCCCGGCACCATCATCCACCCCCCCAACCAACCCCACCGCAACCACACCCGCCTCCTCTTCGACATCACCGCCGTCGAAACCCCCTCCCACAACGCCTCCCTCACCCCCGCCGAATTCCACCGCGCCCAACTCGCCTTCCGCCAAGCCGAAATCGAAGCCACCATCCACACCCTCCAACTCATCAACACCGGCCACGGCGCATCCCTCGCATCCCAAAACACCGCCCCACCACCACGAAGGCCGCCGCACCCCTCCCGCACTGGGACCCACCGTCTCAACACCCACGCCCATGATCATCGCCGGGGCACAGCTACGGCGCGACCCGGCGCCCCTGCAGGCCCTTCCGGCGGCGGGCCCTACCCCCCGGCCCGCCCCTTTCGCCGCCGCCCGTCGTCCTCGACCCTGGGCAAGCAGAAGCGGCCCGCTCAACGACGACGTCCCGCGTGCCCCTGCTGGTGGTGCACAGTAACTCGTGGAGCAGCAGCAAGAAGAGTTGGTTGTATGGAGACGGGCGCGCGCATTTTGATGTGGTGCGGGGGATTGTGGAGGGGAATAATAAGAGGGGGAATCCGAGCTGGTTTATGACCTCGATTGGGACGTCGCATCCGTCGGTGACGGACGCGCCGTTGTTGGAGCCGTGGCTGTTGAGCTTTACGACGGGGGCGACGGTGGGATGTGTATGAGGGGTTGAGGCAGTATGTGCATGTGGTGGAGGACTTTTTGGCGTTTGTGGCGGGTGGGAGAGGTCAGGGGGTTGATGGGGGAGAGGGCGGAGTTTCTCGGAGTATGATGAGAGTGCGGTGCTTGTTGGGGATGGGGAAAGCATGGGCAGGGAGGCGGTGGGGGAGTGGTGGAGGATTTGAAGAAGGGGGAAGTGGATCGGATTGGAGAAGGTATTGGCAGATTCATGTCTTC